GACGGCCCGACATATTTTAGCGAATGCATACTCTGAAAGCCTCTCCTCTAAAACTCTGGGGCTAGCCATTCGAGGTTTAATCTATGCGAGATTGACGACAGCCACGTATAGACCTCCGAAACACCAAGGCAGTTTTGACCCGCCATTTTCGCAGTTTTCTCACGTGTAAAGTAATGTTACCAAAACTAGTAACGGGGAACGGGGAACGGCGAACGGGGAACGGCGAACGGGGAACGGCAAACGGGGAACGGCGAACGGGGAACGGGTGTACAGCGGTAACCCGCTTGAGAATTCAAAATGGTGGTGTAAAGGGAACTAAAAGGGTCTGGCAACTAGTTTTGAATACGTGTTCTTCGAGCAAAAAGCATGGACGGTAAGTGTAGGTTTTATTGAAGGATTTCACTTTGAAATGTTGAGTGCCTCATAAATTTAGTTTTTTGTCTAGCATACACTGCAGGTTGCATAGAAATCAAATCCTCGTAGAGGTGAGTATCTCACAATTCATGCACAACATTTGAACAATCAAATCAGAACTACAAGCTCGCGGCATTTATTCTTATATTCATAGAGTAATTGTACTGCAAGGTAATGAAGTTTACCTCCAATACCTTCACCGTTACAACCCAGCAAATGTCAATAATGTTGTAAAGCAAACAGCTGAATGACTTTCACGCCCATTATGGGAATCACTTTCTCTTGAATATGATCAATGCAGTGTAAATATTATTGTAAGTATTAGCATGAATGTGAATTCATACACCTACANGGTCGTCGGCATACATAAATGGCCTGTTTTCATCAGTGGAGAAGTGTAAATCGTTTACGAAAACGTTCAAAAGGAGAGGCCCGAAGGTTGATCCCTGGGGGCAGCATCTCGTGGTCGCGCCCCAGTCACTTCCCGCTTCTTGATTTATCCTTACTCGACTTTTTCTATTTGTGAAATATGATCTCATCAGGGCTAAAGAGTTATTGGAAAAACCATATGCACCCTCCCTTACTGATCAACAAACGTTGATCAGTAAGGGAAGGTGCAGCGAATCAAATGCCCTAGACATGTCAGTGGACAATACTCCCACAAAATTCCTGTTGTCAACAGCCTGTTTCCATCTTTCAACCAGTCCAATAGGGGAAGTTTCACAGCTCTGGCCCTTTCGATATTCTGTCAAGTTGTGGCTTAACTATAGGTCAATAAATGATGCCAGTTGTTTACTTAGTAGCTGTTCGAAGACCTTTCCTATCACTTTTAGTATATCACAGGTCTATAGTTCTTAATGTCATGTTTATTGTCTTTCTTAAACACTGGGACCCAATCCCCTTTCTTCCAGTGCAGAGGCCAATCACATGATTCAATGCAGCGGTTGTATAAGTCAGCCAGGGGATGAGAAAGCTCCCTACTCGCTGTCTTTAAGATCTTAGGAGGTGTGAGGTCGTGGCCAGTGCTCTTGTTAGAGTCCAAATTAGACAGTGCAAGCGCAATTTCCGTGGGCTCAAGCACGTGGAATTTAGCTTGTGAGGTATCGTGAGATGGCCGACGATTACAGCTATGCGTTATTGTATGTACCCTCTTGTGATAGTATAGTTGATCCTCGGACATTCCTAGTAAGATAGTATCGCCAATGTGATTAGCCACTGAGGAAAAATATTTGGCGAAGTGGTCCGCGATCTTGCATTGGTCCCGTTCAGTGACACCATCGATGTCAAGGTTGAACAGGTGCTTCCGCACTTTTTGGACTTTGAGTGAAGAAAAGACTTGAAAACATAATAGAAATTCTTAGGATTTGTTTTCAGATCATCAGCTTTTTTGTTCCAGCACTCTTTGATTGCTCTCCGGCGAAGTCTTGTAGCGGTGTTCCTCCATGTTTTCATTAGTTCCCGGTTTTCCTCGGTAGGATTTCTTGCATATCTGTTCGCGTACCTCCTCTTTTTTCTAATTGCCTTTTTCCACT